ATAGCTACAATCATTTATTAGGCTTTTTCCTGCTGTTCTATTGATAAGGATGAAAACTAATCGTGTTGGCTTGAACAGATTGTTACGTTTTGTTGCAGACGTAAACGTAAAACACTACAATGGATGTGAGACATCGCAGAGTAATTATATGATCGGTTTCTTCATTTGGTAGTTTCTATACATCGAACGTAAGACAGAATAGCATAATGCATTGTGTATGAAGTCTTAGGCAAAGGCTATTTTTATTTATCGGATTAGCCTGATTGCTTACATACATGTTGCACGTTTTAAGAAGTCCCATCTTTCTTGTCTTTCAGGGGATCAAGGAATGTCACTTTCAAGGCCAAAGATAAATAGGAGGGTAAGAAGAGCACCAAGTCCACCTCCAACCCCAGAAGAGGAATTGTTCACTTCCTGTGACCAGTAATTATGAATAAAAAACTTATTGTTAAATTGATATCTGCTTGTTGGTTGTGTATCGTTAATTATAGTACAGCTAAATATAATATTTAGTACACCACTGGGCCAGTACTGGCACAATACTGGGCCGCTTCTGGCCCAGTAAGGCGCTGCTGTACAGGGCCAGTATTGGGCCAGTACCGCATGGCAGTACTGGCACAATACTGGGCTGGTACAGTGCCTTACTGGACCAGTACTGCCACAATACTGGGCCAGTACTGGCACAATACTGGTCCACTTCTGGCCCAGTAAGGCGCTGATGTACAGGCCCAATATTGTGCCAGTACCGCATGGCAGTACCAGCACAATACTGGGCCAGTACTGCCACAATACTGGGCCAGTACTGCCACAATACTGGACCAGTACTGGCACAATACTGGGCCAGTACTGGCACAATACTGGTCCACTTCTGGCCCAGTAAGGCGCTGCTGTACAGGGCCAGTATTGGGCCAGTACCGCATGGCAGTACCGGCACAATACTGGGCCGGTACTGCGCCTTAAGCCTGAGACAAAATTATGCAAATTTCGCTGCGCTCAGATCCGCAGCGAAAATATTCGCACCCGCATGCGATAATTAAGCGGACACACTACACGTGATCTACTGTCGCCACACGGCTCCAACAATGGCTCCAACAGTCATGTGATCTCTGGTGAAAGGTCCATCTTTCAATCACGTGATTAGCATACTGATCAATGATTTGCTGCATTATATAACATCGGCCAGCTTGATTTTCGCTTCCACGGACACACGACGCAAATCTGTACGCAGCGGCAAAAATCCACGGCGAAAATATCAAACGTTTTATCACTGCGAATTTCGGTGCGGATGAAATTCGTGGCAAAATTCGCCCTCGCTTAAGCGGACACACCATGCGAATTCCCCGGCGGTTTTAAAAACCGCTGCGGTCGTGCGAATAAATTTGCCTGGTGTGTACCCCGCTTTACTGGGCCAGTACCAGCACCCAATGCAACGCCGATGAGCACGCCAGTACCAGGCCGGTACTGGCACTCGGTAATGGGCCAGTACTGCAACGTTTGATGGGACATTGGTTATAAAATTATGATAAAACACTTTCTATGCAGTATCACCTTCTTAAATACCTTTTATCACATTTTTGTTGTATAAGAAAACATCCATAACAAGCATGATATGTTTTAGATTAAAGGCCAAGACACAATGCAGCAACAGCGACCGACCGTAACGACAAACGACTTTTCAGAAAATTAGAAACTATTGTTTCCTATGAGCCATTGGACACACACACGACAACGACCGGCGACAACCTCAACGACAAAAATATTTAGGAACGTTTCTAATCTCCAGCGACAGTTGCGAGCGACACTTTACAAATAGCCAATCGCAGCCGTTTCCATTGGCACGTGACATTGCGACTACATCATAAATAACCAATAATGCTAGCCAAGTCGTAGACTGGCCTCAGGCGCTAACCTT